TGTGCTGAGCTTAAGAAAAGGAGGACCACTTTCCTGCCGATCACCGAAAAGGCTCCCCCTCAAGCCTTCAGCATATCCCAGGATTGCAACACTGAAGGCTTGGCAGGAAAATGCTATTTAGACAAGACATGCAGGTTCAGATCATCTGTTTTGCGGAGGATGTTCAGGTACTGAAAGCAGTGCGGATCAGCTGTTTAGTGAAGCCATGGAGGCACTAAGAAGGAGGGGCAGCTCTCTGCCCCCAACTTTCCCAGTTGGGGAAAAATAGGGAAAAATATAAGACCTCTCAGAAACTAAGACCTGGTGCCTTTTCTGCCGGTCCAAAAAATATAAGACCCTGTCTTATTTTGGGGGAAACACAGTAGGTGGTTGGTTTAATATTACAATAGATTTGTAATTCTGCTAACTGACTTCTTTTTGTGCTTGGTTATGTTAAAAGTACACTCAAAAGTCCTATTAATATAAATGTCAGGTTTCCAAGTGATGAAATCCATTTAGAAAGGAAAGAGCAAAAAGAAATAATCCTATTGCCTCAAAAATATATAAAAAACCTGAAAAACAATATTACTATTCATATAAACATTTTCTATTCACAATTTAAGAATACAGTTCTGCTGTATGTTGCATATATATAAATGAAGTTGTGAGAGTCCCATTCAATGCATCCTGCTAAAAGAAATCTGTTTACTGGCCACTGATTAGCTTTCCTCTAGAAAACAGAACATACTTTTAGAAAAATCTGCTCCTAGTTTCCCTGTTCCCGCCTCAAATACAGTAATAATTCTTAAATTGCCTATTTTTACCTTTACATATTGGAGGCTGTGGAGACCATCCAAAGTGATAACATTGTGCAGATTCAGAGCCAACTCTTGTGAATCCTTTGTTGCAGTTAAAACGTACTACCATATTATGCTGAAATATGTCCTCTCTTGGATTAATTGTGCCATTTTCCAAAACTGGAGTCTTACATACTATGGCTATACAAATGTTGAATAAAATAGAATAAGGTTATTTCAGAATGAAACTACTTGCCAGAAAGTTTGAGACACTTATGTTTATATATAAAATAAACATGATTTTATATTTCTTAAGTGCAATATGAGTTCTACTACTCCATGTTTCCCTGAAAATAAGACCCTGTCTTATATTTTTTTTTCCACCAAAAAAGACACCAGATTTTATTTTCAGGGGTCCACTGACTCACCTCACTTGCATGGGTCATCCTCAGCCTCCTTTTCACTGTCAGGAGCCTTCAGGAACTTCTTCTGTGGCTGACGAGGCTTTCCTGAAGGCCTCTGCAGTTGATAACAGAGCTCTGGATCAATTGGGAGCTCTGTTATTGGCTGTAGAAGCCTTCAGGAAAACCTTGCTGGCCTTGCCAACTGCAGAAGAAATGGGCTGGCAAGGCAGGTGTTGGGGTGTGTGAGGCCTGGCTGCAACTGTCTGAAAATTAAGTAGTAGGCCAGCTCCACCCCCCACCACCACCACCCTAGCTTAATTTTTACTGGCGTACCATGGAGTGGGGAGGTCCTTAATTAAGGCTTATTTTGGGGTAGGTCTTATATTGGGCACACGTGTAAAAATCAAGGTAGGACTTACATTCGGAGTAGGTTGCATTTAGTCACTGCTTAATCCTGGACAATTTTAGTCCAGTATTTAACTTTGCTTTGGAAAGATGGTTGTGAAAGTTGTTGCACACAGCTTCAGATAACCTTGTGTTTGGGAAATAGAGCCAGCTGCTTTGCCCCTTGGCCTCCCTATACAGCAGGGGACTGTCTGCTGCCATTTCAGAAGTGGGACCATTTTGAAACTGCCACAATTCAATATTTTCAGCTTTAACAGCACCTAATTATTATGATTATCAAGTCTTATGAAACTAACAATCTTGTGATTAATCTTTAAAAAATATTTCTCAATAAGTCAATTTGATTTGTACATATATATATCCATCAAAATAAACATCAACATCAAGTAGATACAGTCAAACAAGGAATTTGAGATACCCATTTTATCTAAACAATAAAAAGCTACTTTAACAATATTTAAATAGATATTAAACTTTGCATTATTCAATAAAAATGATATCTTGGACATTGGATTCAATTGCATTTATATAGAAAAGAAATGTATAAATTAACCTATTATCAGAGATTAAATCAGACTATGTTTCAATCAGACATGTTTTGGCAATGCCTAAAATCATTAAATTAGGACATGTTATTATTGGTGATGTTTTCCTTCTTAGGATATTTCCTAGTGTTGTTAATTGCAACACTAAAAACACAGTTTTTGCACTGTGCCTGCCTAGTCACACAGTAAAGCTGTCAATGCACAATGTGATAAGGAATTTTATTTTTTATTTTTGATGCTTATTTGTCAAAGGTCACCCAGCTGCTTTCTGAATTAAGGGGAAGACTTAAAACTGGATTTCCCTGCATTTAGTCCAATATCATTAAACCAGCTCTCCCAGACATAAACTATGGATGGATGATTATAATGAGATATGGTTATCCTTTATATTTATATTATGTGAATATATGATAAATAGATTATTGAGAAAGTTATAGGTAATATTTAGAAATTACTGGAAGAACAAATGGGAGAAAATTAAATACATGATTTAATTATTCTACTTTTTTAGTTTTTATTTGAAAAGCCAATTTCTGGAAAATAATTTAGGATTACAATACTTTTAAGTATATCTAAGTATAAATGCAACACTACGGAAATCATCAGGAAAATATTCTGGATGAACTGATTTAGACAATTGGATGATTATACTGGTGTTTCACTAACTTACACACACAGCTAGGAGTAAGTTCCCATCCTTTCTCGGTGCACGTTACGGTGTCATCGATGGTATTGTTTGTGATTTGAAACCCCTCTTTACATTCATAGTGAAGTTTGTCTCCAGGAAAGAAAACAGACTTAGTTGTGTTGAAGATAAAATCACCTCCAGGTGGTTTTAAGCATGTCTCTGTGGAATCAAAGAGTGGATATTATTAGTTTCTCGCAGTTCTTTTCTCATGAGTCTAAGTTGTAAGCTCTACAATTCTCACCGAAGAATGACCTCTTAGGTATAGGCATGTGCATGAAGCAAATGATGAGTTGCTATAAATAAGTTCTCACTGGTTCATGCTAGTGATTTGGGCAAATATGGTTAATTGGTTTTTAACCAGGTCATTGGGTCACATTTGGTCTTGCAGACTGTTTCACTGACCCTTTCATGATTCTAGCATCTGAACACATGTACATAGTTTTTCAGATTGTGGCTACCTATACTGCAAACAGTTGCTATGTGATCACTTTGTGTCTTTCAGCAGTTTTTGCTTTTGAATCTGAAGTGAATTTTGTCCTTATTATATGTTGTGTAGAGAACATGGCAGATGCTCAACAAGTTTTCTTGCCATTTGACTCTCTCTGTAAATGCAAACTCCATAATATATGTTTTCTGTTTGCATCTATGATATTTATGGCATCAGCTCTTGGGAGTACAGGAAATAAAATGCAAATTTGATGTTTACAATAAAAGAGTACATATATTTTAGGTTGCAGGTTACTTTTTTCAAATAATGAACAAAAATAATAATTTATACTATAAGCCTATAGTTAGACTTCTTGAAGAGATACATTTACAAATGGTTATGATATGAGGCTATTCTTCACTGAATAAAATCCCATGTCTTTGTCTATGCCAGTTTGTTTCAATCTATCTTCCAATGTAATTGTATTTACTTACTGATACATTCTGGCTCTGGGCTCCAGCCCTCTGTAAGGCACTGTGTCTCTGCCTGAGTCTCTCCTTTTGATGTTGAATAGCCATTATGACAATTATATTTTGCTTTAGCATTGATCTGAAAACTCTGTTGCTGCAATTCAAAATATCCATGGGATACAGAAATCGTCTTACAGCTGCGTTCAACTGTTAATGGAAAAAGAAAGTATAAAATGTGGCTTCTTCCATTTATAAAATGTGAACTCTTTGTAAAATACCTGGGAAACCAGTGGAGCCAGAGGAAACTTGCCTCCTTTTAAAATCATGAATAAATGGGCTAAGAAAAGCTGCATACAATACGTTGGAAAATCCATAGGCAGATT